ACGCTCGTCAATTATTACTCCAGCCTGCTTCGTTACGAACAAATTCGCGCGTAATTGGCATTATTAACGGCGCGCTTAGATTTCACTCGATTTGTTAACGCGAATCCGGGTCGCGGCATTTTGCAAACAACAAATGAAGTCGCTGCGCTTCCAACGGAACGTACACGCGTTGAATTTGATTTCGCGTCGAATGAAATTCCGCGAAATTTGTAACTCGGTTGGCGGCGTTATTTTATGCAAAATAACAAATTTCTTCGTCAACTGCGACGAACAGAGTACACGCAAGAGCGTACCGTTTCCTTTAATAACATTAACAAGCTGGAAACAATGTAACAATATCCTTGCATTTCTCCGTCTTCGCTGCTCGGCGTTTCACTTATCCGTTGTCGCCAAAAATGCGTGAAATCCGCAGACAAACGGAGAATTCTAAAATGTTGTTACATTGTCTTCAGTTGTACTGACATTGCTAACAGAGGAAATACACGTTCGCCTAATCTGTTTCGTGCAATCGACGGAGAACGTCTCTATTTCTCATAAAGATCCGCGGTCTATTAAAGTCCTTCTCCGACATTTTCAATCGGGGAGGATCCCGAACGAAAATCGCGCGATAACGTCGGACGTGGCAGAAGCGGCGCGAAAACGACGACGAGTCCGCGGAAAATTCGAGCGGTTGTTATTAGTTATCCGATGGAACCGCGAATGCGAAACCGCGGGCGAAAGCACGAAGTCAGCTTTACATTTCATCGCGGCGGCGGCGGCGGCGTCGGCGGCGGCTCCCGTTGCGGGGATCCAACAAGAAACTTGACGCAAATCTCTTATTGAGCACCCCAGGCCGCCTAATACTACCCCGAACAATAGCAATCTTAAAGTAATCTTAAACGAGTTTCCCGAAGGAATTTGCCGTGTCGAAGGTCTGGAGCAGCCAGCGCCGCTATGATAACTTCCCATTCCGTCTTCCCTCGCTAATTATTCCGTGACTTTAATGATCCTGAATTTCTTATGTTTTCAATGCCGCCGAAACTTGGGTAACGAAGTAAGACCTACTTAACCAGGACTTAATTGACCGCCGCGACGTAAGATAAAGTTACTTTTCGCGGGGTCTCTTGCCGGCCCCTCGTCTCGACGTGGTCGCGGAACAGAGGCGTGAGTGAATTCAGTGTTCGTCGCGAAATTAATCGACGGATCGCGTCGGATGTCTGAACCAGCGGCGATCTCTTACGTCGAGGCAGACATCCAGGCTGTCGGGAACGAAAAAATTGATCGCAAGTTACCCCTTAACGAGCTCGAAGAATCGGAAAGTACCGGCTATTGTTGGAATGATCGATTCGTGGGCGGCAGAACTCAAAGACGAGCCGGTTATCTGGCGGTTACGAGGGGTTACTGATTAAAACACTTATAAAGGACCTGATAGAGCCAAGAAAACGATGCTCGGGGGATAAAACAAAGGACTTATTTATAACTTCTTGAAACCCTCTCTCTCTATATATATATATGTATATACGTTCCCCATTTATTACGTTGAACCTCGAATTCGCTTTACCGGCCGTCCTCCGTTCTCTAGAAACGCCTGCAGCTTCGAAATCGAATGCGTAACTTCGCAATCAATTACGTACACCGTTTGTTAAAATCTCAGTTTACGGTGGACAGTGTACTTTGTTCGAGAGTTCAAGAAAATCGAGCTACGTTAAAAATTTTGTGTCGCGTTTCTGCACGAGTCGAGAAACTTGGAACGAAGTATCTTCGTTAATGCTTTTCTTAGTTACAGGAAAGCAACGAAGCTGACCGTTCAATGAGACCTGATCAATGGGAAATGTTCCACAACGTGCCTGATCATTGCTGTCACATTCTACTTACTGCAGAAATCGAGTGTAAGAAGCTTTAAATCGACCACAAGGTTTTTAAAATATATAACAGAGCTGACAACAATATTCCAAATGGATAGAGACGTTTTCAAGTGGAAGAGTGAAAAATGGTCGAACCTGCTTTCATATTTACCACAAAGAACATATTTGTTGGCACAAGGAAACTGTCTCTCACTCTAATTCTTATAAAACCATCTACAGAAATGAAAAGTTGCTTAAAAGTCCACAGGCCAAATATTTCCCTGACGAATTTCCTAATTGCACAACAAAGTGAGCTCAGAGAAAGTGTACCTCGCTATCTCCATGATTTTTCCATAAACAAATAATGTATACCGTGATCGACAAACTAGAACAATTGCAAAACACTGTTAAATAACACGTTGTAACATCAAACAAGACTTATCTCTTTATAAAAGGAGAAATGATTGACTTGTACTACTGGTCTCAACCGAAGCAAGTGAAAACAGTCAGCCTACGGTCAGACGAAACTCTCAATCTTATTAAAACAAAACTCAATATCATGTCTATGGTTCATTATGCCCTAAAAATTCACCCTGACCGTTCCAAATAATAAAATCCTACAGAGTTAAATGCCCGTTTTTTTACAAAAAGAAATTAATGCTAAAAGATGCTAAATATTGTAAGAGAGAAGTAACTAGAGCAGCATATAATAAGCAATAATTTCCACCGTCCATTCGCCTCTAAAAATCGCTAACAAAGGATCTACCCTTTGACCTTTCTTCGCAAATATCCAGCAGATCTCTGTAAATGCCGGATGTATTACCCAGCCACCAAAAACTGTGAAAAATCCCGAATTGTTCTCGAGCGGGACACGAGTGTGCTCGAGGGACACATGTAGGCCACTCGGCGAATAAACAAATATCGAAACAAATCCGTAAAAAATCGCGTTCACCGTTCGCCGGTGGCCGGTCGAAGGGTCGCGGGGGGCAGGATCGGGTACCGTTGATTTTCGATTTGCATCGCCGATAATTCAGCGGGCCGGTACAGTTATGCAGGTAGTTATGCCTGCAACGTATGTCATCTACACGGTCGAACATGTGTTACGCGGACTGGCACTGTGTATAAAGGCTCGCAGGTAGGACTGCTAACGGATTTCAGAGACGGCAGGGGTCACTGGAAACCTGCCAGGTACCCGTGTTCGATGATTTCGTATTAAAGTTTCAGTGTACGGTGCGCGGCAAGAGGACAAACGGACGTCGGCGAGCGTCGACGAAGCGCCGTCGAACGGTCGTTTTTATTAAAGACCCCGTGCGTCCGTGGGGCCGGCCTCGAACCGTTCGCGAAACCGGTCCATTATGAACGTAACCCGGAAGCCGAGCATCTGAACTGGTTCGCGTACCCGACGCCCGCAATCGCAACTTCCTGGACGTGGGAAGACTGTGCATAGACCGGAGGCATCGATTCCGCGATCCCACGTGAATATTGCATCGAGACTACTCCGAAACTCGGACGTTTAAACGTTCCGAGGCAATCGTCGGGAAAAGTTCCCCGGTTATTGTTTCGAACGTGTTCGCGTTTCCTGGGCACCGCGACCGGCCGAGTATAGCAAACAAATGTCGAATTACAGATTTCAGGTATCGTTCCGGGTGTAGCTATCGCATAATAAAATAGATCGCTCGCTTTTATCGACGGACCTCCTGTACGATTCGTAATATCGTCGAACGGATCCTCCCCTTTTTTGAAAGAACGGATTTCTTTAGTCGCAGGATCTGCGAACACGGCGATTTTTTTTAAATAAAACGATGCGCGAACGGACGAAACGAAGCTCGCAGAAAGTTCCGAGACAATAGCGATTTTAAATGGAGTTTATGGGAGGATATAGGAGGATAGTTAATATTAGAAGATACGCTGCCTTTGGCTAGTGATATTTAATTTGTCCGCGCGCTGCCGGCTTTATCGAGATTTACTGTTTGACCCTGTTTCGTTCGAAGTCCGCGGATAAATACTAGTTGGTCGTTTGTCTCGGGGAAACGAGATGACGAGAACGTTTTTCTGTCTCGGATTAATTGACGTCACGGTGTTCGAGATACGATAGGCAGAGTTTGAAGATATTAGATCGTGCGAAATTAAAATTTCTAAACGCGTAACTGTATCGAACGTGTTGTTAAAGAAACAGAGTATGAGTACTCGGTGAATGTTTCTATAATTATCTAACAGCTGATAAATATTCCAAATAAAGTGTTCAACTAATTAAACAATCTATTATTTACGCGTCTAGTAGCGTAGCAACAATTTTTAATTCGCTCGTGACAGTTCTTCCAGTGTCTGACCATGAACCGACCACTTTCACTTGTTCCCTCCCGCATGTGTCAGTAGTATAAGTCAATGATTTCCGTCTACTATGATTACGAATCGCATAAAAGTTCCCCGGGATAATTAAAATCATCCTTAGCACGGCTTATTGCCGGTCTATCTATCTGTACACGCAAATCTGGTCTCCTGATTTCAGAAACATGAGAAACATTACGAAAAGAGTTTCAGCGAACCTCCACCGCGCATTCGTAAAAATGCACGAGCGTCAGCGCATTTCACAAGAAAACCGAAGTCCTTTAAAAACATTTCAGTCCCAACAGTGTGGTAACATATCAATTATACCATGCGCATTCACTGAAAACCGTCAAAGAATCGCAGCAAGATCGTCATCGCACACGTACAAAATATAAATTCTAATTATCAAATCATTCCAACAATTCTCTGACCGTTTCCAAGCAGCGTCCCAAAGTTCAGGGTCACACGTTCCAAGGCATCACGTGCTAAATCCGGCTCAAGTATTAAACGAAGTTGCACCGATACAAAGATTGAATTACAACGAAACATCTAAGAATCCGACCGACCTAAAGCTAATGATCCAATCGCCTGCTCGAAAATCAACTTCCGGAGCAAGCGTGCATCGCGACATACACGCGGTCCGACGAGTCGTTGCTATACCAATTAACCAAAGAAACCCTCGGAAACCGTAATCCACTGCCATCCAATAGTAGCACAAGGATCACGGATGGCAGGACAAGAGAACCGTCGAGTCAACGACCCCGAACTTTAGGACACAGTTGTAATACAAAAGCCCTCTCTTCGCAGGGGCAGAACGGGGGTTGTCGAGCGTCGGTTGATGATACTCACATTAGGACGTGGTCGGTTTAAGGGTGCGTAGCACGCGTAATCCTCGTCACACCTCGTGAAAAAAAAACCGGCACACACTCGGAGCACTGTATCGAGCACAACCGAACCAGTTTTCACTTGGTCGACGAATAGATACGTCGCACGAACCATCCAGAACTACTCTAGAGGAGCCCATCCGACGGTGGGTGGGCAAAAAGAGTCACTCGGTCTCCATCGCGGCGCGATACTTAGTCCCCCCTTCGCCTTCGATCCCACGACGGCAATCTATCCGCGGCAGGGAGACAGAGTTCACGGTGCATAATACGGGAAATCCAGCGACCCGTGCGACGCTCGACAGAACTCAACCGAACGCCCTAAAACGGTTCATCGCTGATTCGCTCGCTAATTCAAACGTGATCCATGACGGCGTTCATCGTTTCCCGCGTCGTCCAGGTCGAAAAAAACCACGGCCCCAGAATGATCCTACGAATGGCCGGATCCTTGAGCGATCCTTCCTCGATCGCGCCGCCCATCTCACGATCCTGAGTCCTGTATACGTCGATCCGAAGAATCGCTGGTCCAAATCGTCTGGGTCCAGGTCCGTGTCAGGGTCAGTCCTTCGATGTAACGGCAGCGATGTGGGTTCGTTCGGTTCTCCCGTGCTGCCACTGAAAATATCAACGCTGGTTTACCACTGGCGCACACTCGGATCAGCTGCGACAGATTATTACACGTCGTTGTAAACGTTGTAAACGCGAGACGACACACGGCCGTGGAAAAACGGTCACGGAGCAACGGAATATCGTTTCTCGGCCAGCGGGGAGGACGGCACTTATGGTAACCCAGTTTCAACTCGGCGTCGTTTTTTATCCCCGAGGCTCGCCGATCACCGTTGTGGACCGTTGCACATTAAACCGTTGCGGACACCACTTATAATGTCCGCCTAATTTCTTTCGGTCACGGCGTAGACCACCGAGAGAAGACACTCGACACCGCGAAATATCGTAGCAATGGCACCTCGGCGCTGCGACCAGCTGACAGGTTCGAGGTGAGAGACAGACGAGGAAAACAGCCCTCGCCTTGCTCCATTTACAACGCACGTCGCTCGTTCACGGGGATAACATTCTTACGTAGCCACGGGTCGAACGCACTCTGTCCACTCTTATGGTCCGCGAGGTCCCGTTGGCAACGGGACACGCGTAACCCCCGCGAGAGAACGATCCACCGCGGGGCAAACCGTCTCTTCTAGAACAGGGAACGTGCTGATAGAACGGTGCACGCATCGAGTAACCTCGCGCAGCCAAAATGGTGGACGACACTCCCGTGTTCCGTTTCCACTCGGTCGCTAAGTCACCGTTTTCCGAAGCATGCCGCGCCTGTCGCCGTCACGGGCCCGCGACACAATTGTTTGGGCCGCGCTGGGTGGCTGGCCCCTCGGCCAGTTTCACGGGGACCGCGCACCGTCCCGGTTTTCAGGCCGAAACGGAATCTATCGGGACAAGGGTCGAGGAGCGGAGCGCACTGGAACCGCCTTCTGGTGCACAACACAACACACCACCTCCGTACGTGTAAAGTGGACCACCCGCCTGGCGCATCCGTTCCGTTCGCATCCGTTTCCGGGGACCCGGGTCACCGTGCACGGCCGATCATCGGCCGCCGTCGATTCGGTCCGTTTCTCGGGGCACAACACTCTCGAGCCGGTCACCTGATCGTTGCGTGGAAAAAAGATCCAACGAAAGAAGACAGCGTCGACAGGCTCCGAGTTCAGGGCATTCCAGCGCAGCCAGGGTGGACCGAGACGAACGCCGCGCCATCTGACGGCGGAACCGCTCACCCGAGGACTGACATGGCCGCGCGACCAACCCTCGCGTCAATAACAACCGAATCAAACGAACATCACTGCTCGGCGGCCGCCAGGTGTTCCCCGTGTCCCAGCCAGCGACGCCTCGTGCCACGACGCCATCGTTCCTAACCTGTAAGAGCGAACAACCAAAGCGAACGCAACCAGCAGCTGGCCCCTGCTCAGATCCAGACGCGATCCATCACGCGATACCCTCGTTCGTATTTTCGATCAACCGCGCAACGAGCTACTACTGCGGCGGCTGCGCGATTCGGACTGAGCGCAGCCTCGCATGGGAACCGTGCGGCCGGGGCCGGAAACACACGAGCACGCACGAATCCTCGCTGAGAGCCACGATACGACCGCAGAGACATCTCCGATGGACTGCCCGAAACCGGTTGGGGTGCTCCCGGTTTAAGGGGTGGAGGCATCCTATGGTCAGACAGTAAACTGCTAGACACTGACCAGACAGAGTGTACTGGTGTGAAACTGGTTTGGTACTTGTAGAACGTGTGTTCCCTTCCTGTGGAATCTGGAAATTTGTTGGATTTTACTTTTTACGGATGTTTCCGTAATGCCGGTCAGAAATGTCGCGTCCTTTCGCAACCCAGACGGTGCACTATTTTCATGTACAATTGACAATACTTTATGACCATTCTCTGTTTTATTGATCAATTTTTAGAGACATTCTTTGTAAAACTTCTTGTATACTTGTTGGTCTTTGGCTAATCTTTAGTAATTGCAATTTATTTCGTTTGTCGAATGTCGAATGAAATATTTAGGTATTCGACAGTTTTCGATTGAACCAAAGGACTGGAATTTTTTGTAACGATTTTGAACGATTAAATATTATCTCGGATATATTTTCTTTGCCGCTTCATTCTTTTATCCCCGTTTATCCACCGTAATTATTGTTTCTAGACAAAAAGGTGAGCACTCCGTTGTACTTTTTAACACAGCAGCGTAAAATAGAAATATAGAGAGCGAACATACTGTAATTCAGTAATCAGTTTACGCCGGCTTGTGCGTAGATTCGTAGTACTTAAAATTCCAGTCCCGTGCTAATTCTTCATCTTCCCCTTTCTCTGAAACCAGTTCTTCAAGCTCCTGGAACATTATTTTAAACTACTTGTGCCATGTCCATAATTATGAAGGCGCCTCGTTGCACGATTTATCAAATTATTAAAGCTCTAATAATTGTTAAATATTACTTCTCCAAACTGATGTTAAAGCATAAATAGAAATTTTGGAATAAAGTGTCATTTTTGATATGTCGAATGTTGTTTGATTTGGTCCGACCATTGTATACCGTTTCTACTTATTATCATTGCTTTACATTTTCCACTTGTTTTTTCACGTATATACAATCGTTCTCAGATTATACCATCAGTTCGAGATAAATAAAGGTTCAATCACGATACGTACTGGTTCGCGAACCAAGGATCGATAATATTTGAGCTCTCGATCCGCCTCTAATTGCCACTGATTCTTCTCAATGTGTTTTCTATAATATAACAACCAAAATCCGAGATAATTGATCGGATCGTCTGGCTTTTTTGCTACTATCTCCGTCATTGCCATTCTCAAAGGTATTTTCAGGTAATTCCTCAGCCATTCACCGTCGTACGACAATTCCAGATCGTCCATTAAGCAACCTAAACATTTCGCTTCTTTTCCTTCATCTGTTACCGTATCTTCTTCACCTTTCGATTCACCTTCAGCTGTTTTATAGGATACAAAAGGCTGGTTTTAACACGGATAATGATCGATCTGCCTCAGATCTCGTTTACTAATTTTTCGCCGCAAATGGAACAAAACGCCAAATATTGAATCGTCGTGGCACAACTTACGGGGACTGCTTCTTAACGCTAGATCGTCTTTATCAGCGTCGCAAGTGTCTCGAAATTCTTTCGTTTCCTCATGATCCAGTGCATCACATTTACCCAAATTTACAGTTGCAGGCAAGAAGTCTATCTGACACCGAGGCGGCGACAGTTGTGACATTAATATCTCCTTCGCGCTCTGTTTGCTGGCGGGAACGTTTTACGATGCGCCGTTACAAATATTTATAATATAATGTTTCGCATTAAATTGTGTTTCTCCGCAAAAATCGCGAGAAAAAGAAAATCCGTTATACGATGGCCGGCAAAAATGATCATTTCCAAACATAAATCACGGAACTGCGTTAACTCACTTGTCGTCAGGACGAATTTTCCGCGCGAACGTGGTCAGAACATCCGGCACCGTCGTTTTCTTCAACGGAGGCCGATCCTTCTTCATCCTCGCAGATTTGTACCCTGAAACGAGGAAACCTCTGTTTACGTACCATGAAATTATTGAGTTTTCCCGGAGAAAAGAATTGGCTGGATATTTAAAAAAATATGGTTTTGGAGCAAATTCTTCTATACCGAAATTTTGACCAGTTTTTCTGAGTTATGGGAAAACTGTTATCGTCGCCGATCCGCGCATTCCAGGAAAGATTTCATTCCCAATCGCGCGACTGATTTACAACGGCACGGATCTCAGTGCCAATCTCCGGCGCAGCTTCAATAAATACCTCGGCGAAACAATAGCGCCTACTTCGCTATTTTTACCGTGGTGCGACGATAACGGCGCGAAGCGATAACATATGAATCACTTCGCGGTGTTTATGTCGTCACGCATCGTCTTTCGATAATTTATGCCGTCTCGTTACACGAAGATAAGAAAAATCAGGCCGGCGTAAGATCTTAATGATAACGCGTTTCTCACGCCACCAGCCATGTAATCAAACTGCCGCGCGCTCCGCGAGGACATAAATACATCAAAGATCTTATCGGAATGCAAATTTTCCGATCCCGAACCGTATCTTCCGGGTATAAGTTTCGCGGGCCACATGAGTCAGTGCAGGCAACTGTAACCGGCCAGGTAGAAGGTGCATCACATCTTGCACATCTCGCGGATTCCACAAAAAAAAAATTACGAGACACAAATGGCCACCGAGGATCCGGAAGATGATAAGGCCAAAAAGATCACGATCTGGACGCAGTGGCTGGCCGCGTTCGCTCGTAAGTAAATGCCAGCCCCGGCTGCAGCTATTGATTCGATATTGTTAACGTGCTGGTCCACAAGATTCTTTATATTCCTGGCAAAACGAGAACACTTTTATGTACGCTGAAAATCGATACTTGAAGACTTGATTGCGTTCAAAGAAACTATTAAATGTTTTGATACATTATCTCTGACATCTTTTCTAAACATCCACTTGATTAGAAACTTTGCGTGTAAATACACAAAATCAAATTTAAACAGATTGAGAATCCTTTTTATCACAATGCCAAATCAAACGATCTCGTATGTCACATAATTTCGCTAAACCAGAAGCGTAAATATGTTCACCTTTGTCAAATCTACAAACTGGAAAGCGATTTCTACACTTTTAAGAAATACAAAACAGTTTGTCATCAAACAAGCTTCATTCAGTGAATCATTACCCTAGAATATGTTAAAATTAAGATTTCTCGTTTCACCGAGATTTTACTTTACAGAGTGTAAGCGAATTTTTTTTTCTCTATCTTTTGAAGACTCGTAAATTCAACGTGAAACAATTGTCATCTTTCGAAGACAGAAAAATCCGACATTCTTGGCCAATCTGATATTCGTGATTATAATGAAAGATTTTCTGTCAGAAGTAGTAGTCGCGATAGATACGCAATCTAATTGTTGCTAAGATTAGAACTGTTTCGAGGGTAGTATATGCATTCAGCCAGTGCATCAAGATGTTTCGTCGGTCCGTGCGCTGGGGACCCTTGTAGACCTATGTCTATGAATGAGCTAATGAAATTACTCTCGCATCTGTTGACACAACTGTTTCATGGCCGTTTGTGACAGTCAGCTTAGCTGTTATCGGAAGTGGTCTCGCGAATGGCTGGGCATCGCCGTACTTGGCTCAACTGACATCAACGGAAGCGAGCGTGCCTTTGAGACTGACAGATACCGAAGCGTCCTGGGTAGCCTCCCTTTTAAATCTTGGCCGGCTCGCCGGCGCTTTGCTCAGCGCACTGTGTCAAGGTAAGGTCGATTCTTCGCTGTCCGGAAGAAAATTCGTCTAGCCAATCCCCATTAACTCACCCCCACCCCAGCCCCACCCGGACATGTCCCGGGGAATCGCGTGAACTTGAAAAACTACCCAAACGTGTCCGTTCGAATATAAATCCTGGCTTCCAATCAAAGGGGGAAAATTACTTTTCTGTGACTCCGTCGTTTTTCTAAGTATCAACAACGTGCGCCCTTTCGACCTCTTCCTTTCATTTTCCAAAAATTAACAATCATTAACGACCTTCCGTTATCGTTTCTCGGCTACAGTGATAAATCCACAAACTAAAATCGTTGAAAAGATTTTCAACCAGTAGAAAAACACATTTAAGATTTCCTACAATATTTTCCTTCAGGATTTCCCAGCTCGCCTAACACGTAACGATATAGATAAGCTCGCTGTTCAATAGATTAAACTCATTCTTAGTTGATCCGATCGATCCTTTCTTACAGCACGCGATCAGCCGGCCAAGCGAGACAAACAATGGTGAACAACATTGTTAGTCGTGAATTCAATAAGAACAAGGCAGCCACGACTCAGCACTCGTAGCAAAGCGATATATGAAATTGCGGTACGTAGAAAATAGAAACGGCGAGCATTCGGATTCCGGCTCTGAAATGCTGTCACTGTCAAGATTCAAATCTTCTAACAGAACGAGAATACCAATGAACGATCATCGGTACTGAGTTGTGGTGATCTTGTTCTCAGGAAACTGTAAGTTTAACATGTCACACCGTCATCTTTAGACTATATTGGAAGGAAGAGGGTGCTTCTGATCAGCGGCGTTCCGATGGCCATGAGCTGGGTGCTCAGTATTTGTGCCACATCGGTCACGTGGCTCTACGCCTCCAGACTCAGCTCAGGAATTGCGACAGGAATGGTATGGAGTGCTATCTCGTTGTATCTGGGCGAGATCGCTGACCCCAGGATCCGGGGATCGCTGGTAAATTCTTAATCAAATATCGTATCTCTTTAGCATACTGATTCCATCAATCCTTAGCCAGACTTATACACCTTCATTCCTTTCATTATTCTCCTGGTATAAATAGCTTCTGATTTAAGCCCTTATTTCTACCACTGAAACTGTAAATACCATGATTATATCGTAGCTCTTAATATAATATCTTTGTCTTAATATATTCCTAAAAGACGACTTACAATCAGAGAGTTAAACTGCAGAAACTCCTGAAGTACATTAGCAGATGATCAATAATAAATATACTGATCAAAAAGAATTCGCAAGGTACCTAGTTAAGTGCTTTCGTCCCCGGCCAGAACAGAAAGATGAAAGGCGAAACCGTTTGCGTCCAACTCTAACTTTTTCGACCAACGCGCATGCGTCCAATCAGGTTATAGATAAATATATGGTACCTATGGTCACGTTTTCAGATATCCATGAACGTGAACGCGTCCTCGTTCGGCATGGTCCTAGGTAACGCGATGGGCCCTTATCTGCCCATGGAGATGTACTGCTACGTGAGCCTCGTCCCGAATATCCTCTTCATGATACTCTTCAGTCTGATACCGGAATCACCGTACCATTACGTCTTGCACGGAGATCTCGACAAGGCCGAGGCATCCTTGAAGTGGTTCAGGCGACAAGCTGACGTCAAGCCGGAGATGCGAGAGCTCCAGGAATTCGCCGAAGGGGCCCGGACTAATCTTTTCCTCAACTTGAAAGAGTTCCTCCTGCCAAGTACCCGCGATTTCTTTGCTTAAACTCTCGCCAAATTGTTCTCCCAGTGGCTCAAATATTAAGAAACGATACACCGTTGACGAGCGGCGCTTCCATGCTGAAAATATTCTTCCTTGGACTAGATCTTCAAGATAACTTGAATATTCTTCCGTTTCCTGAAGGACAATTTGCGAGGACAAATTAGTTTCAACCTATTGCACTCGTGAAGAAGGTAATCCAAACTTCGTTAATTAATTTCAGGCAACCTGAAGAAGGTTCTACTGGTCCTGGGACTCTACGGTTTCACCTACGTCAGTGGATACAACGCTATGTTCACGTACGCCGAGATCATCGTGACGAAAAGTCAGATCAACATGAAGCCTAGCTTAGCGGTCACTATTTTCGGGATTGTCATGATCGTGGCTGGTTCCACAGCTACTTTGTTGGTCGACAGGCTCGGCAGAAGGTGTCTTCTGATTGTCACTGGTCTCGGATCGTCCATCGCCTTAGCAATGCTAGGTCTCCACTTCCATCTGCTCTCTTTAGGATACGATGGCGGTAGCTTAACATGGCTACCCTTCACTGCCTTAGTATTGTTCAACATTTCCGTGTCCGCCGGTCTACAACCGGTCCCCAGCACCGTCATGGGCGAAGTCTTCCAGGCGAACTTGAAGAACATGGGCTGCCTCTTCGTTAGCTCCAGCAATGCTGTCTTATCTTTCGCCAGTGCGAAAACCTATCAGCCATATTTGGACATGGTCGGCGACAAGTACGTCTTCTGGACTTATAGTTTCAGCATGCTGTTCCTGGCGCCGTATGTCTACTTCCTGCTGCCGGAAACCACTGGCAAAAGTCTGATGGAAATACAACGGGCCACTAAAAAATAGAAAAACGCCCGGTCATTTGAATCCTCCGTCTAGCTGCGCTTCGCGGACTCCGAAGCGAAACTAACTAAACAGTATTAAACGCGAGTACTGAAAGCTATTCGAAGCGGTGTAACTTATCTCTATCGATTCCCATTAAGAGTCCGTGCGATGTATTCATTCTCGTCTTCGAGATTGTCGTCAAAGAATCCTTCTTGCTCGAAGAACGGGCGTCGAAACTGAATATAAGTCACTCGATGAATATTTATGTACTGAATAAAGATGATTGAAATTGTTACCGTTTATTGTGCCGCGTGCTCGACGAAAAGAAAGCAGCGTGCACAGGAAAAAATCAAAATGAAGAGCGATTCTTTCTTGCGGGTCCCCACTCTCGTGGGGTCTCGCTGTTTCCCCGGTGAAGTAAGCCGGTTAAAATTGCATGGTTACACGACCATCTCTAATCCTGGTCTAGAAATTATTAATGCCGGCTATTTACAACCCTAACCATCCCTCAAACTGCGCCAGAGATAAAGTAAGAGGCGAACAGGTGCGGTGAAAACGTTATTAATATTGCACAACGCTCTCAAAGAAAGAGACAGCGAGCTAGATCTATTATTTTGCGTCCATCCTGATAATAGTCCCGGTTATAAAGAATTCCCTGTTCGGGAAGACTCGATTGGCGGTACTCCAAGGAAAAAGAAGTAAAGAGTTGGGCGATCGTGACACGCAACATTCGCGTGGACGTAGAAGATGAAAGAACCTACCAAGTCCTCGATCGATTACTACATACTACCGAACAAGATTTTCTGCGGGATGGCCGGAATGTGGCCTATCGAGGAGAACAGCTCGACGTTCAGTAAACTGTTCGCTTACTTCCGATTGCTGTTCGCGTTAACGGCGGTCAGCAGTGTTTTCGTGCCGGAAATTCTGGCGATAGCGGTGAACTGGGGCGATTTGAAGGTTCTAGCAGGTAATCAATCGAATTGAAATTATTGAGATCCTTCTGACCCTGCTGGTCTCTCCTTGATCTGCACAGCTAACATCATTTTCTAAACTCGTTCACGATTATTCCGAGAATTACAGTTCCATTGTTCTTTCTTATTTCAATTTGTGTTTTCTGTGATACCATCTTCGCAGGTTGCTTGTGTGTGTGTAATTTTTGTATTCATATTCATTCATTAAGAGATTTTCTTCCTGTAAAAATGAATAAAAGAGATAATTGTCTAATCGTTTCTACCATAAATGCTTAAAATCCGCAGTCTACGATATCAGACAATCTTACAGATCAAATTCGTAATTATTTCGAATAACGGCAATTGTCCATTCAATGATACAATTCAATAAAGGAGAACAGCGAAGTGTGTCCAAAAGATAATTACTACCGCCAGGATAAAATGTTATTTTGATCTTGCTTTACCTGATACTAGGGGTAGGATGCGTTCTAACATCGGTCGGACAATTATTATTCAAAATGATATACCTGCTAGCGAGAAAAAAGAGAACCTATCAACTCTACTACGAACTAAGAAACTTATGGGACGCTTCTGATGATCCTGAGGAATGGCAACCCTGCGAGCAACTGGCTAACTGGGCGAGGATCCTGACTATAGTCTTCTACTCGTCCTGCATGTGTAACGTGATTACTTTCGCCACGGCTGCGGCGTTCGATTACTTCAACATTAATTACAACGTCAGCGACGCTTCCAACGATAATCGACATTTACCGTTCGAAGTTTGGTAAAAGACTAATTCACCTTGAAACCTTGTTACTAGAACAATAAATCATTCCGCAACTCCAGAGCTATAGGTAACAATTTCATGAAAACGGGATCCATAAATGTAACACGGTTTTGTTGAATCGCGATTAGGTACGGAACAGACATAACAGAGTCCCCGAAATTCGAGATCGCATTTATTTGCCAATTCATCGCGTCCCTAATTTGTTGCGCCGGCATTTCCGGCCTGGACGCCACATTCATGACGATCATTCTGCACGTGTGCGGTCAATTTAAATTGATCAACATATGGATCAACAAAATATGTTGCGTTCCCACCGACGGTAACTGCCTGCCGCAATTCGAGGTCGATTTACTGAAATGCGTTCAACATCATCAGCGTATAATAAAGTACGCCATAGATTTCCTCGTTTTTCACCGTTCTGTATTCTTCTGTCTATAACATTCTTGCGTGGCGTCTGTTCAGCGTTGTGAACGAGGTGAACAATCTGTTGGCTCCCATCATTTTCGTGCAAATTCTGACCAGCGGCGTGGAGATTTGTCTGAGCGGTTTCGCTGTCCTCGACAACGGCACCAGCACCGACCTCTTGAAATTTATATCTTACTTAACATCGATGGGTATACAGCTCGTATTATGGTGCTGGCCGGGCGAAATCCTTGTCCAAGAAAGCCAGCAAGTAGGCCATGTGATTTATCTGAACCTGCCGTGGTACAATTTACCGCCAATTTATCGAAGACAACTTAGTTTTATAATTGTTAGGGCGCAGCAACAATGCAGCATCAACGCGCTAACATTCCAAGTGATATCTATTCACACGTTGACCAGCGTGAGTATTTTTCCTATTACAAGCCGATGTAATGTTCCTGACTGTGTAATGTTGCATATAGGATAACTTAACTTATTTTAGTATTATGGCTTCCTCCATATTTAAGATATTCTTCCAGTAGACTAGTAAAGAAGGTCTACTTACGTCTACTTAGGACTACTTAAGGTGTCTGTGGAACCTTGGCCACTAAAATTTTTCAGCAGAGATACCGCAGTAGTAAAGTAATCTAAGCTATCTTATTCTTAACATGGAACATTGCATATTTTTCAGAAGAAGATACCTAAAACAAAAAGTTATTTTCAGGTGTTCAATACAGCAGCCTCTTACTTCACCCTCTTGCGACAAATGCAACAAAAGTAGAGACCAAACAGTAGAGACACTATTATGATGTATAATAGCCCGCGACGGAAAACGGAGTCTCATATTTGAATGGATAATTGAAATTGTTTAATGCTGCAGGACGAAAATTGAACGCCAACGAAGGATCGATCTTCGTGTAAAAGGATGAGCTACTACTCTAAAGCCTCTTTAATGATGTTAGATTATGAATCATGAGTATTATTGGCTCTTCAGAGCCAATCGAATCAGAGTAGCTATCAATTAAACTTGTCTTCACAAGTTATAGCGACTTCTAAGGATACTAAACAATCATAAAAGTAGCTCATTAGAACAAGAAATCTCATCAATTTTTAGAATTCGTCTCATATCTCACAGCTCTGTATTTAGTGCTCTAGTCGATTTACAACATTTTGTTACTTTATTACGTTTATAGTCATACTAAATAAATTGTCATGAATTATACCGACTCGAGAGCTCTTACTCGACCTTTATCAATTTTTGTTCACCTTTTCCCTGCCAACGTGGTAACCCTCTGGTAAACCTATAAAATATCCAGCTAGCGATAGTACGATAATAATCAGAATAAACAGCTTGTTATTCGCGTTTCTCCATCGATGTAGCAAACTAGTTAACGATTTCACCTTGAATAGGCAAAGTATCTTATCTGCGTACATAATCATTTACTTCCATCGATTTCTTTTAGAAAGAACGTCTCTATTAAGGCAAAATCGATTTTTCAGTCTGAAGAAAGTATAAGCAATAAATCAATTTTTTTAGTATTCTAGATGAAGGAAGCATCTCTAATTTTTCTGCAATTAATACTATACCTGAATAGTCTTTCAAAAACCATAAATTTATTGTAACAAATCGAATGGTAATTTGAATCCTTGAAACGGTTCCTTGACTTACCGTCTTACGGTGCTCCGCCATTTTGTTGAATGCAGCCCTGCTCAGTAACTGTTATATTTCTTCGCAATTTCATTATCTTAGTATTAATATTTTAAAGAACGTCTGTCTAAAGAATTCATACGATATTAAACTTGTGAATTTGACCCCTCATTATTGGCTAAAATAACAAACATAAAGGTTATTGAGTTAACGTAGCTTTTTAAAAATGTAACGGTCAAAAACCGTCAAAAATTTCAGATTTAAATTTTTACCGCTTTTTGTCGTAAGTATAAAATATGTGTTCTAAGCTTAATTGAATTAAAGATATTTATCAGTCGTTACTATCTTAAGTATCGCATTATTGTAACAAATGCAATAGAACTAAAGAGTGGAATGAACGACCAACGGTATCTATGATACAGCTCGCATGTGAAACAATATTTGTCACAGCCAAACGCAGCCAAGATTACGTTTCTATTATCAAAACGTTAGTATATAACAATTCAGTGAACTCTTTGCATCGGAATTAGCGGAGTAAATGTAAAATTTGTTTCCAACCTGACATTCTTTCAAAGTCGTAGATGTTGGTCGTGAAATATAGTTTGAGAAGCCTCGGCAATCGTGGAATACTAAAACATCGTACGTATTAATCCATTTACCATAAGTAAAACTCATTTCTGCAGTAAAACACAAATATTTATCTTACCGTACAACAAAATACAAGAATTCCGAACGCAATCCTCTTCAACGGGTACAACTTTCAAATTACCTGTCCGTTACAGAAACAGGGCTTGAAGATTATCTGATCATCTTGATCACTGATGTAGTGGCAGCATTGATTTTTGACATTTGTAGTCGATACGATGAACAACTTCATTGTAGTTCAAATTCAAATTGGTGTTCGAGATTTACTCTAACCTGGTTCAATATTATTATACATTTTGATGCTAGCTGTATTGCCTTTTTTAGAAAACATTATTCGGCAAACATTAAACAATTCCATAGCGAAGCGATCTGTGTTTTGTGGTTCATCAATGAAGAGATCAAGGACTAGTTCAAAGGCAAAGTCCAAGAGAGAAGAAGCCGAAGATGATACCATTAAAAATGATATTGAAGCGAAGTCAAAGGTTCGTTTAAAAATTTTAATTTTTTTCGTAAATGATTTAAAAATTAAAGGATTATCTTCCTGAATATTTAAATCGCCTTCCAACATATATGGTTCAGACCAGCAATGCTAAAACGAGCAATAACTAACAATGTTTATGAAAAAAATAAAATACATATTTTTTTATTAGGACAATGAACACAATTTAATAGTACAAGCTAAGAACTTAAAAAATCAGAAATTAAACAATGTATCAAAAAGTGACAAGAAATCAATTGGTAGTTTCAAACACCCTGCTGAAACTACTTTAGAAGATTCTATAAATCCTGAGCACAAACAAAAAAGTAAACTTAATTTAAAAAGATTAAAAGATCGTAAGTCAATTTGTAGCAGATTTTGTTTCACACCTGATTTTCCATTTTCATATTCATTTGTATAGGTAATAACAAAAACAATGAAGAACTAAAACCAAACGTACCTCCTCCAAAGAATAAGCCCAGAGCTGTGGTAGATCTAAAAATGATGACTGAGGAATTAAAACAGTTAGAGGAACCCCCATCTACCGATTGGGAAAAAGAAATATGTTTGAATAGACTTCCATTCTCATTTTATGATTCTCCTTGTGAAGAGTTAGCTCAAAATTTGTTAGGTAACTCAATGAAAGCCTGTTGTTCGTCAGTGATTTATATAGCACTAGTTAATTATATTGTTCTATCGTCATTTAGATGTTTGCATTGGTCATAGTTTGTTACTTTTACATTTAGGGAAAATACTGGTTCGTTATTTAGAGAATGGGACTGTTCTAAAAGGTAGAATTGTTGAAACAGAGGGTTACTTGGGTGTGATAGACAAAGCTTCACACACATATCAAAAAAAAATTACCCCTCGTAATATGCCGATGTATATGTCACCAGGAACTGTCTATGTGTACATGACTTATGGCATGTACCATTGTTTTAATATATCTAGTCAAGGTGAGTGTAAATGAAATACAAATTGTAATATATAACTGTGTTAGATATTGAAAAAGGTACATAGTTGATTAATATATTGTTGATCTTCATAATTGATTTTAAAGAAAGAGAGATTTAACTACTCCTTCTATGTAACTAATTTAAACTGTAACAAAGCACATCTAGTATAACATTAAAAATATTTAGAGTCAGGTGCATATGTACAAATTAAAGCAGTGGAACCTATGCTTGGCCTTGATTATATGGAACTGCTTAGGAACATGCAATTTGGAGAGAATAGAAAAGAAAAAAGAATCATAGCAAATGCTAAGTCCATCAAACAATATGAGCTTTGTAACAGTCCATCCAAGATTTGTGCTGCTTTTGATATTGATGAAGATAGTTTCAATGAGCAAAAAATTTATGAGTTTCAGAATTTGTGGATAGAATATGATCCTTATATAAAGTTTACTACTATTGTAGCAGCACACCCTAACAATAATTCAGGACATGGTGTCCAAAATATATGGAGATATTATGTGTTAGGAAGTTCTAGTGTAACTGAGAGAGATATTAAATCTGAAGAGCATGCCTATAATATCTAACAATTTCTATTTTTCGGGTGTTACATTCTATCATATAGATATCTACTGGTAAGATTTTAGGTGAGGGATGTGCTGTTTTGATAAGGGCTCTTGAACCCCTAGAAGGTACTGAATGCATGGCTAGTCAACGTACATCAAAGAGAACATCGGGTGTGCCTAAAAAGCCTTTGAAGGATTTAAAAACACATGAATTATGCAATGGCCCATCAAAGCTCTGCATGGCCTTTCAACTTCATAAAAAACATAGTAAATACTCGATGTGTTCCTGGAAAGGTTTGTGGATCGAGAACGACAACGTGAATATGGAAATCAACATTGTAAAGTGCCCCCGCATAGGTATAGAGGGCTATGGAGAAGAGTGGACAAAGAAGCCACTACGATATTACATATACGGTAACAAAGCCGTGAGTAAACGAAATAAGGAAGCTGAATTATCATTGGAAATGAACTAGATCATTGATGAACGCAATCCGAATTTATAAATGCATGAATAAAATTATGACGTCGATATTTTCTATTGCTTTAAATTAATTCAGTATTTTATTGTTGCATTTACAAATAATACATACAAAATAAATAGCTATCACGTTGAAAACGGTATGGTACATATTCTATTTGTTACAAACAATAATTTTGAGACATAATTATAGTGTACAAAATGGATAATTATTTCTTGGAATATTTTACAAACAAATGATGTATATTATTTATGCCCATTCTTTCATTACTCTTTCATAGTCCTCCTCTTCGATGAATGGTTTATCTATAGACCTGCAATACAATTTTTTTTATAAAAGATATGAAAATAAATATTTATGTTGCACAAACAAAAATATTAAATATTAGAATAGCTCACTCTATCATGAGTTCTCCGCAGTATAAACATTCAGAGGCTACTAATTCGTCGATGTCAGCTTTGATTCGGTTTTTTCTTGATAAGGATACAGAACCAACTGATGTAGTATCTTCTGGTCTGTTTGATTGTGCAATAAGTAGTTGTCGTTGAAGATCAGCCAGCTTTGTTCTCTGATCCATCGACAACATAGGAGTCAATGCGGCTACGAGGCAATCGCTATGAAATCTATGTCCGCATGGAAATACATAAAAGGGTCGCGATAGTAACTGAACATCACAAGCGTTACATGTATCCTTTACATATACAAAGGTACACCTAAAAGAATATCCCATTATATCGCGACATTAAATACTTTATCATCTTTTATTTGACTACCTTGTTCTGAACTCTTGTATGTCTTTCCTAACAAGTTCGGCTGCTTTTGTCGCTTCTTGCATTTCTTCTTTCAAATCTTGGATATGTTGATTATATTCCTATTAATCATAATTTAAATTTATAATAATAATTATAAATAGATTGGAAGAGGTAATAGCACGTACCTGTAACGAATTACAAATAGCGTCTTTGAAATGATCTATGGTAACGAAGTCTGAAAAGAACGGTAGTATATCTTCTATTCTGACTATATCGCAATGTCGCAAAAATTTCATTGCTTCTTCTATGTCATCTTTTTCTCGAACCACATGTTCAGCTGAAATTAGAATAAATGAGTTAGTACGTATTAGCTAAAGGATTCCGTAATTCAGATTTTCCTCAATTACCAATTTTTAGCCATAATTTTTTCCTTAATTCATCGTCATGATCCGTAGGCATGGCTGCTATTTGTTTAGCAAGATCTACGCTTATTGTCAAAGCTAAATCTACCGCTGTTGTCCAGAGCCCGAGCAATGCGGACAATTGTACGCAAGCTTCAGTTAAACCAACTTCTTGACACAAACGTAATGCATAATGAACATCATAGTGTACCATATTAATATCTTGTCCTACAAAGAGAAACATTTAGATCAATATCCTTTTAAAGTAACTAGGAAATTTAATGAGTAATTTACCTTGAGAACTGATGAATCGCATAACTTCATCTTTTTTATAACGAGCATACAAGGACAATAAAAAATTGTGAATTGCCTGTTCTTGAGAGCTTAATTTATATACACAAAACTCCAAATACCTGATTATTTCTTTCGCCTATAATAGCAAACATTGATTTGAGTACTAAAATCTATTCCAAAATATGGGGATAATTAAAGAAATCTAAATTGCTTCTTACATGTTTTTCATCGCTATTACAGGAGACTAAAGCCGGCAGGAGCTTAGATGGCTTTAATGAGTATCCTTGCGATATCAAAGCAGTTACCGCAGGACGCGGTAATTCTTGTAAAAGAATACCAAAAAATTGGTAAAAGAGATCCTTATTGTTTTGACTCTTTAAAACTTCAAGCGCTTCTAAGTAATTGTTTTTATATAAATGCTGACGTATCACTTCCTCGTAATTGCAATGCATTATGGTTAAACGGATAAGATTTTCCTTGTCGCCGTGACTTGTCATTAAATCATATATGGTACTGCGATTTCTTATTATGCACTCCTAAAATAAAGATTACATATATAGAAAAATAATATTTTGTTTAATAAAACAATTTTGTATTCTATCATACTTCGACTTTTGGTATGGCAAGGAAGCTATCAAATTGTTTCTGAAGTTCCAAATACTGCGGATCATTTAAATATGAATTATTGCTACTTCGTAATATCGCCATTTGATTCATAAATAATTCTACCACCCATACAACAATCATGGTTATTTGCGTTTTGTCGTGCGTTTTCAGTCCTTCTAGTTTCTATAAATAATAATGAGATTATTTTGTTTATTTAAAACACAAAAAAATATGGAATACGAAATACAGTACCTTTTTGAGAAAAGTTTTTAATGCTTCTATTTGCCATTCTTGAAGAAACTTTAATGATATTTCTTCGAACGATGAATGAGTGTCTGCAGAGATGAGAGCACTTTTTTCATATCTGTAAAGTAATATTTAACTTTAGTTATAGCCGGATTCTGATCACTGATGTATAAAATTGAACATACTCTTTGTTTCTGAAAAGCATTTCGGCTTGCTTTACTAATACTTGATCTTTGTGTGCTGGATTATCTTTACAATATTGTATAGCAAGCTCAAATTCACCTTTATCGACGTATATCTGTATAAAATTAAAAAATATGATTAATGCGAGCCAAAATATATATAAATTGATAAAAGTGTATCCACTTACCTGCCACACATTTCTATCTTCTTTATTAACTTTATATTTAAATACCGCTTGTTCACTATAAGCCCATATAGAACGAGTTACATGATCTTTAGTAATACTAACTAGTTTGCCAAGAGCCTTTGAAAGTTAAAATATTTCAGTTATATACCTTACATTGTGAATATACTTATTCCATTTTTTATTTATTATACGTACATCGTTATAAATATCTTCAAATATTAATTCCTGGTTCAAGAGTGATATGCCTTTAACACGATCAGTATAAAGCAACAGCGCATGAAATTCTGTTAATACAAACGAAAGCGGCGGAGTTGCTACTTGCGAAACACTGCTTCCTATAAGACTTGTTTCAGGACATGTTATCATTTGTTGATTTTGCAACGTATTCTTTGGATCTATAGTTGGATCAATCTAGAAATATTCACATTAGTACACGGTTTTTATAAACTTTGCATCATATTGTGAAAAATTATATTATTTTTACCTGTGCATACCATATACCAGTTTCAGTCAACCAACCAAAAGACTTTGGTAAAGCTCCCATTGAAGGATAATAGAATTGCATTTTTGAATAATTTAAATTACTTATCACTTCATTAAAACTCTCTGTAAAAGTATTACTTCTATGACTGCTCAAATTATTAATACCAATTTAAGTACCTACAGCCACAATTTACCTTGCACATTTAAATACTTATTAAAAACTTGTTGTAACAAAGGTTTTTCTTCCGGATTCTGCACTTCTCCAATATATTGATAAATACGCATAAGAGTGGTGACAATAATCATATACTTGTCTGAATTTGGTACTTTATGAAATTCTATGCCAGTAATTGGTGGTTTACTGGCCTCCCCTATATCAAATACCTAAAATGAAAGGAAATTGGCTGTAGAATATTGCATTCATTTTACATTATATTATGATTTCATGAGATGAAACACAACATTAATAAGCTGAGCAATGCAATGGCGTACAGTGAAGAATTACAATAAAAAAAAGATTACAGATACTGATATAAATTTTTGCTCATGCAAAAGATGTGATTCTAACTCACCAATCCTTCTACCTCCTTAGCACCATAAAGAGGTAGGTAGTTAGGAAGCTTTAGAAATAATGAATAATGATATAAAGGAAGTACTTATATTACCATGGACTGACAATATATACTGATAATGAAATAATTAAAAATTAATTTTATGTTTTATTATACCTGACGCCAATATTGCTCCAAACTTGTATTAAATATTTTGTCACCATCTAAACCAATTTCTGTTTCAAAGATGAGACCTTTAGAAGTTCCTAACAGTATTGGACCCGTAGTAGTTTCAGAAGTATTTTGAAAGTTCCATCCAACAGCAGTGATTTCGTGTCCTTTAAATTTGCCTGCCTAGATAACAAATTTTGAACATCATGTTTTTTATACTATGATATGTGTTTTATACTCAGTACCTGTTTCAATTTTGAAGTCTTCTTATGTAAATAAAATAATTCAGGTGGTGTACTATCTTTGAGACTTGGATTCTTTGGAACTAAAGCAATTAGCAAATGATTTCCCAAAGGATCAAGAAACATCCCTGACATTTTCATATTTACTGCATATTTTGATATATTTATTTCTGAAATAATTACTTCATATGATTTATCAGTTTTATATATTGCACGAATCATAAAAATTACTACCTTCTATAGTAGGATTTCTCATATCAATACGCAAGAGCATGTTATTGGCCATAGCAATAACAGTTATATTATTATTAACAACCAAGTGTACAATGTTATCTGATGGCTGGAAATTAACTCTCTGTTTTATAAAAATCGGTCCGTCGTCTTGTAACTTCATCTGAATAAATCCTGCTGTACTCTAAAAATGTAATAAAGCATAAGACAGTTAACATGAATTTTATGAATATTAAAGAGAGAATTGAGGTTCTGAATCTTGAAGGTTTTTAATTGAACTATAAATAATGGGAAAAATGGATTATGTATAAAAAGTCTTACAATGTCTGGACGAATTGGAGGTGCATGTATTTGTTTTGATCGTTGAGATGCTTGTTCATATTGGTCAAACATTGATGTCATTTTGTTAATTTATTTAAAACTCTTCACTTTTTCCTGTAATAAAAATATAATAAGTATACTCTGCTATTTAATTACAAGATATTTACACTTACACAAATTTTAATTCCTTCTCCTCTCTTCGAATCAGATTAAATATATATTATTAATAAGTGTACTTAAATTATATATACTTTATCGTATATACACATGCCCACAAAAATGTCATAAACCACAACCGTTAACCTTAATTTTTGCATGATAAATTATAAATATACATTCACATCATTCTTCGATCGAATTACATCTGTTTAGTCATTCGATTAACTTGTAAGAGCATACAAATTTATAATATGTATGTACATGCACTGATAAATACAATTAGCTGACAGCGATACTCGTTGCATTCACTTGCATTGGTAGCAATGATTAAGTCCATTTCATATTTAGAGCAAGGGATGCAATTCGAGAGAATATTAGTATATAATACATAAATATAAAAATCGAGTGAACAATTTAATAAAACTGTACATTACATAGCTAACATAAATGTACCATAATTCAAAATTAAATAAATAATAATACAAAACCGTTCTTAGATGCATGAATGAATGAATGTATGTATGTATTATGTATATCTATGGACCTAGCGTATGGCGTAGTTCTAGATGTTATCTATATAATATTATCTACCAACGATTCATCTCGATTATCTTCAGAAACGTGGTGTAAAAATCAGTGTTTGCATTGAAATACACTTGAATAGATCTGTGTGATAAGTGAAAAGTAAAAACTGTTTAAATGTCTAACACTAATACCATGGAAAGTGAAAATGATCCAGTGGTTAACGAGGTTTGTAAATGGATTTTCACATTTAGTCTTAAGTTACTCGTTCTTTCGTAAAACGTGGTATTTGAAGGTTATGTATTTGAATTGTTTTATGAGGTATTTCACTATATTTAATGAAATTTTTCATTTGGATAATGAATGAGTTCGTATTGTTATTTCTATAATACACAATAAATCTCCAATTCATAATTATACACTAATTATTTTGTAATTTAATAATTAATAGATACTTCAAGATACTGTTTTGGTTGTGTGAACCTCAGGAGAAAATTTATTTATTACTCAAATATATATTTTTCTTTTAGATAATTACTTTAAAGGAAAAAATTAAATACGTGAAATTTTTTTAGATTCCAGTGTTTCTCTCAAAAACCCTTGCAGACAAACTTTTTATTTTCCAATATCCTCTTCGACCTGCTAAAGATGGCTATGACAATGCAACTCTCTTAAAATCCTCGATAAAACCACAGAATCAGGAGGTTCTGATGGAAGTAGAAATAGATACTCATAGTGTTAATTATGACCAAAGTAAAAGTGAACAGATTGCGCTTAATGCAGATGGTGATGCAAAGGGCGATCAAGATGAAGGAGAGAGAGCATTTGATAGGTGTTTAATAATATAAAACCTAAAAGAATTCTTCTACATAGAATAGTTACACTATAAATAATATTTATGTTATAGTCATTTAATGGATAAAACAGTCCTACAGTCTTCACGAGCAATACCAAACTGTTGTAATTATGCAGTTGGTGTTTTCCAAGATGGAGAATTACATTTGACACCACTAAGAGGGATGGTGCAAATGCGTCCACAGTTCAATTATCTTGACAAAAGTGATAAACGTGTTAGAGAAGAAGCCAAAAATATAGGAGAAGGTAATTACTGTACATAATATACATATAAACATGAATATAAACCAGATTAAGAGATTTAATTTTTAATTTATAGAAGCAGAAGAGGAGGAGGAAGGTCCAAAACAAGTAAATGTAACATTTGCCAGACAGAAACCAGAGTTTATGAAGAAGATGCAAGAGCAATCATTTCAGCATTATACTCAGAAAAGTCTAGAAGAGAGATGGATTCATACAAAATATAGTCCTGCAAATAGCAATCAAGCAGAGGTTGATATAATCTTCAATCAGTTGTATCATTAAATATATAATAATTACTATCATTTTGTAACATGCATATTTGTTTGTTTTCAGCTTACACGTCTAGAAATGTTCTGTTCTGCAACAGATGAAACTGTAAATACATTAAATTTATCAAAACCACAATACTTAGAATTATTAGCACCAAGAGTAAAAGAAGAACCATACTCAAGAACATCGGATAATACAACATCCCTTAGTTATATTAGGACATTACCTCTTCTAGATCAAATAAGAATTCTCCTGAAAGATGGTCAGCAATCTTAAGATACATATTCATTACTTTTAGAGTGATCTTTACTAATTCAAATGAATTATTTCCAGCCAAAGTTATATCATTTGTACAGCTACGATCGATCTTGTCGCCGGATCAAGAGACAGCGTCTATCTTAAAGTATTTACAACAGGTGGCTGTTTTAGTACAAGGGAATTGGGTTGTAAATAGCGAACTACTGTATCCTAAGGATACCATATCCTCGCATAATGGCATTTCTGCTGATCTAATGTGTAGAGCTAGGGATTATATTGTAAGTATTGACAATTCTAGAAATTACACCAGTTTGTACCAATTAAATTCACGAAAATCTATCATTTCAGTTATTATCTTTCACGGAACACGAAGTTCTAGATAGAAAAACAATTTCTTCCATAGTTAAATTACCACCTGACGAAATCAATGAAATATTTGAAAACTTAGCATCGCACGAGCCTAAGAACGGATGGCGACTAATAATTCCGCCTACCAAGGATTTTACAGAAAGGTGCTTTATTGTGAAAATAAAATTTTGTAGGACATACTAACATGTGCTTTTCTTAAATAGATATCCGGAGATAGCGCAAAGGCAAGAAATGTTTTGGGAAGCGAAACGAAAGCATCTGCGCGAGGCGATGGAGGTTCAAAGTCAAATTCCGCAGCGTCAAAGGCGAAAGTCGAATAGGGAATCCGTTGGATCTGAAAATGAGGAGAAAAATATAGGTCGAGGTAGAAAAACGTTAAGGGATTCGTCGATGTCTGACAACGACAGCGCGACAGAACCGGTGAAACATAAAAAGATTATTCGAGCTCGAAAAGTCTCAGAGAACACGTGACCAAAGCCGATGCGCGATTAAAATCTATGATCACACATCGTGCTGTTAATATATTTCGAATTGTAGAGTTATCACAGATACACACACACTCACACGACTAGATCTAGTATAACAATGTGTCTGCTTTGATACACTACCGAAATTTTACAATATACGTACATCTTTAAATGACTTAAGTAAAAGGGTTCTCTAGTCTCAAATGAACCGTCGAACTGCCAGCAATGTCTAGACCTCTGTTGTCCTACGTATTTATAAACGAAACTCGAGTCGCATTGCTTGCGTTTCGCAAGGTCGTCTGTTACAGGAAATATGATAGCTAAAAATATTAATTTCCATAGTTATCGTATTATTTATTGAAGTATATACAGACAGATAGCAAAGTATGGTTCTATCACACGTGATTACCGCAGAGCATTTATTGTCTAACATCACACTGTCGATTGTGAAAACATACGTACAGTCGTGTACAGTCAGTGGCAAAAATATGAGTTACATATTTTATAAATGGCATTTTTCTTAATTAAAATTGGATGGGTTCCATAAAAATGACGATTTCTCATAAATATGTGTGTGTTTCTTCGGAAATTTAAATAAATCATTTAATGAATTTTATTGTTTTTACAATATTCTTCATTTTTGTCGGAATCTGTATTGAATTTGCCAAGTGTATATAGGCTTTTGTGACCGACTGTACCAGCCTTAAGATTGTATAAAGCACTCAATTATTGTTTACAGTGATTACTTTCGGCACATCGTGGATCGATGGTGCATCCGAAAGCGCGGACTGAAAAACGACTGATCTTTTCTATTTTAATAAAAAGTATTTTTACGTATTAAGAGAGATCGATGTGAGATCGAGATCAACTATAGACAGAAATATATGTATAAACTATCGGACAAATGCTATATTTATTACTACGATGTTCAAAATGTATACGTGTATACATAGTATCAAGATATATTTCCGTAAAATTTCCTGTATCCTCTCGTTTCTTCACGCCCGATCATTATAACTATCGCATCGAATACTTCGAGATATTATTTATTTGTTACTGTTTACGGCATGCCCCTGACTTTCGTAATATTTATCATGTTCGAAATACGTTATTTTTCGTAACGATCTTACATAAAATGATCTTTCTTTCTTTTTTATCAGTTTAATCTCTACTTACACGAATCTGCGTCCAGTAGGGTAAACATGCATTGCCAGCTGGTATCTCGTATAGTGATTGTATAAACACAGTTGTGAACAAGAAAATAACTGTACGAAAAATCCAATTGGCAATTCGTTGGTACATATTGTAATTCCATTTAAGAGGTTCGAAAGTATACTCGTTTAAAAACAGGAAGTGCAGAAACAGTTAACATTTACACTTGTATCGGTTTATTGCATACTGGTTCCCTGAACTACTTGTTTCAGAAATATGTTATCGGGTGTCCAGGTATGCATGCATTATGCAACGATCTATCGCCTTTTGTAAACACGCTCGAGCATTCGCAAGTGAAATCGCGGCACGCGGTAAAAACTCCATCGGGAAATTAATATTAATTTGAATTAAACCTTTATATCCGTAATCGAGTCGATTTTCCTTCTTTTCTTTTCTTTTGCCGCGTGCCACGCTAATCGCTTTGAGAGCGAACAAAAATATGAAGACGCCAAAGATAAGTAACATGAGCCAGGAAACTTTCGTTTTCCGCTATCGCCTGTTGCAATGAAACAGAACGCGTTTGCGAGTTATCGAAACTTTTCCATTGAAAACGTTGCAAAGATTAATTTCATCTGGTCTGCATTCTTGCCTGTTTAGCTGCCGTTAGCCGAGAAAGTAATAGCTGCGATTGTCCTTGAGGCGTTCGCAAAGATTATTACAGCCCTCGCAGCATGTCGGATTAGATCCGCGGGACACGAGAGGAGAATGTCTTTATTCACGCGAAACCGATGTTGCATAATTTTTTGCGAAGAAAAAAGAAGGGACTTTCGTGGAGAAAGGGGACTTTCTTCATTCTGTTGCAAAACCGAACCAATTTGTATGAGAACAGAAGATACTGATACATCGAACACGTTCTGGGGAACAGCATCGCGACGTTCACGCTTAAAGTGTTAATCGATAGACTGCGGATTTTATGAATTTATAGCAGAAATGTGGATAGTTAACGTATAAAATAGTGAAAAGAATTTAAGGATATTGATGTATTGATTTTACATAATTTATTCATTTTTTATTCATATAATATATAATTTATACAATTGATTCATTTTCAATAAAATGTTATTTCGCATAAAGATCCGCAATCTAGTTATTAATATCGTACATTCGACGCTTTTCTATTACGAACTACATCCTCTTTTATATTTATTGATATTATATTGTTATTCATTCATTTACTGACAACATTATAATTTATTCTATTGTACAAATAAGTTCACAGCGTATTCTTTACAGTTTGTAAAATAGTCTCCTTACTGTAAAGACTACACCGTTGACTTATTTCGACCAGTTCGGCTAAATTCTTAAAATTTAATTATGTCGCAACCATAAAGTCACTACAATTTATATTATTATTTATTTATGTGTTATTTATATATATTTATATTATTATTATTATATTAATGTAATATTTTCTTGAACAGCGCAGAAGAGTAGAAGTTCTAAATTAGTTTAATTTGATCAATGAAGAAAAAAGGGTGCACCGGGTCTACAGGCAGGTGAAGGTCGTTCACCTGGATTGGTAACGATTACCTATACGCAAGGTGCATCAAAGAAGTCTCGCCGCGCAACACACGATGAGGTAATCGAATATAATAATCGTACGCCGATTGATCTTCCGTTTGATCGCACTTTTCGCCGTCTGCCTCATTATTTCCTTTTCTTTTCTTTCTTTTTTTAGCCGTTCATTCGCATATCACAGGGGCGTAGCCGTGGACAAACACACTTTCTCCCGTGGGTTCGACCGTCGGTGAAAGTATTTCTTACGCGTCCACACGTTCAGGACACCCGAATATATTTGATCGGAATCATTGCCCCGGAACGGTTGCGCCGACTTTTTTTTTCACCTGCGAGAACAATGCTCTTCCCAGTCCACCTGAAATTTATGCAGACTCGTGAGTACGACTACAAAACCGTCACTTTTCATTCAGATCCAGAGGCAACAACTGTGTGAAATCTTTTCAATTCTTAATTGTTCCTGGGGATTGTATTCTCTATGTTTCGGACAACGCATTTCTATCTTCACGAAGTACAGTATCTTATGCGTTCACGACGTTTACAGGTTCATGCGATAGTAAGGACAAAGATTAGGATACGTATTTCTTGACAGATCAAACTTAGCAACGATGGTTCTCCGACGTTTTTTTCTGCGGACGACGTTTCAATCAGGCAGAACAATTTTTGCTCGACGGCTGCATTTTTACAAATCCATCGATACTCCTTGGGCTGAAACTTTCCCCTTCGAGAGATGGAGTTCCAGCGGCATTCCTTGCAAAGGGCGGCCCGAAGAACTTCAGGAAATCGTCGATTACGCCAGCGCAACGCCGATGTGTTTAAAACAGCCTGCGTTTTACAAGGGAAACCATATTCTGCTTCAACTTGGTCTAAATTCATTCGCAATTACCAGAAACCGGTTTGCGGTCGGAAAGAATTTAATTCTCTCGAACGATCGCGGTTTTCCGTGGAACGTGTACGCACCAAAGCGGGCAGCGCGGCCCGAGTCTGGCAAAGCGAATCGTTCGATGCCATTGTTCGCGAAGGTACGAACCCTTCGAACAAAGTGCCGAACGTGCTCGCGTGGGTGGAACCCGTTCTATCTACGGGGTACAATTTCAAAAATGTTCCAGCAACGCGATTTGCTCGATGCCAGATAGAACTCTCAAGGATATCCGAACACCGCCGGGCCTTTCGAACGACAAATTCTATCGGGGAACGCAATCCTGCAACGATTTCATGCCTTGGCGTACTGCAATGTCAATGACATCGAGACCCCGACAGGAAAGCGCGATTTTTACTGGAAAAAATGTAGCAGATAGCGCGCAATCTGAACGAGACCTTACGTAACGTGATAAGATTGAAGGAAACACGAGGCGACGCGTAAAGAGACATGTAAAAAGTGATCTTCTCGTAGTGAAGATCGACCGAAAGTTTAGAAGCAATAATTTTATTCAAAGACGCGTTCCTTGTTGCATAGAAGCTGCGTAGAATTTTTACAGCAATCGCTGGATGCACAGTAAATTCTCCCTAATTTTCCTTTAGCTTAAACAAAAACGAACAATTATTTATGTAAACATTGTATATATTATGTATAAACAAAAATGGACAATTTGGGAAGAGGAGATACGATTATTCGAGTCTTGCCCCTCGTTTTTATAATTGTTGGCAATCGGCAATTCCCAAATTGTCCATTTTTGTTTACCAGCTGAAGGAAAATTGGCGAGAATTTATTGTACCAGTCGAACATAGTGAATTCGTTAAAAATGTTTTGGAAACGGAGTACGCTTAAGCTTCTCCAACTAGACCACGTGCTTCTATAAATCGCAACAGGCAAATTTAGATGCAGTAACATCGTCAACGTATTTGTTACGAACAATGTCAGGCTTCCGTGCGGCTCTTCTGCTCGTCGATCATGTCTGAACAGTTCGAATTTGCATGACCGCGGTCTATTTACCAGAATAATCTGTGAAACTCCGTCGGTTTAGCTTGTTTCTGCCTCGAATTCGTAGAAAGTAGCAAAANCCAGAATAATCTGTGAAACTCCGTCGGTTTAGCTTGTTTCTGCCTCGAATTCGTAGAAAGTAGCAAAATGGCGACGGACGGTGTTCCGTCGTGGAATTGTTTCTAAACTTTCTGTCCCGTAAATGCGGGGAACAGGAGATTCGTCGATAAGAAAGGACGTGCTCGACGCACGCTGCTCGTGAAAGAAAGGGAACTGGAAGAAAGCGTGCGAGACATCCGATCTTGTCGATCACGTCAATCGATAAAGGATCTCGGTTTCCGTCAGGTGAAAACAATGACCTTCGATAGGCGAGCCCGCGAGAAAGAAAGTCCCGTGCGATCCGTTTCCATGCGATTTCAATAAATTACACGCTAAGCAGCGCGTTGAATTCGTCGAGTCCAAGAGATCCGAGAAAAGAGATCGAAAGTTCTACGCGTAGTCGCGAATTTTCCGGCGGTCTCGCGCTCCATCATTCCGTGACTTATCTCCGCGGCTTATCGGCGCCGATAAATCATCGGATGAATCATTCTCGGAACGTGAAAACGTCGATACGGCTCTAGCATTATCGAGTTATACAATTGATCTTGTCAGGCTTAATAGATTGAGCGATTAGAATGATCGTAATTGTTTAATTCGATGCCGCGGGGAAACAGAAATCTCGTATCTCATTGTGTATACATATAATTAAGCAATTCGTTCTGTGAAAGGTACGTAATTAAATTAGCCATTACACGAACCTACTTTCGAGATTTCAATGGCAGAGCAAAACACGATCCGAGTGAAAAGCAATTAAAACATTTACGCGCACACGGGGAAGCATGAAGACGCGCGGAAACAAGGNTCTCAAGGATATCCGAACACCGCCGGGCCTTTCGAACGACAAATTCTATCGGGGAACGCAATCCTGCAACGATTTCATGCCTTGGCGTACTGCAATGTCAATGACATCGAGACCCCGACAGGAAAGCGCGATTTTTACTGGAAAAAATGTAGCAGATAGCGCGCAATCTGAACGAGACCTTACGTAACGTGATAAGATTGAAGGAAACACGAGGCGACGCGTAAAGAGACATGTAAAAAGTGATCTTCTCGTAGTGAAGATCGACCGAAAGTTTAGAAGCAATAATTTTATTCAAAGACGCGTTCCTTGTTGCATAGAAGCTGCGTAGAATTTTTACAGCAATCGCTGGATGCACAGTAAATTCTCCCTAATTTTCCTTTAGCTTAAACAAAAACGAACAATTATTTATGTAAACATTGTATATATTATGTATAAA